TTCCCCGGGGGGGTTTCGGGCTCTCGGAGCGGTTTTCCCGGTGCGGTGCTGGGCTGGGGAAGGGGAGCGGGGGGTCCTGAGGAAACTCCCGCCGCTGCGGGCAGGTCTGTGTGTGGAGAAGCGCCGGGAGGTTCCGGGCAGGCTGAAATCCTTGGTTTTTCCTCAAGGAGCTGTGCCAGGGGGGTTCCTTTTTACCCACAGTGTCCAGAGATTCCTGGAGGGAAGTGTAGGCAAAGATTTTAGGCTTCAATATGAAGTTAACCTTCCATTGGCTTTTAATGTTAGTACTTAAGTGTGCCTGACTCACTGGAGGTGCTGTCAGTACCGCGTTTACAGACATCAGTGTCTTTTCTGTGCCCGGTGAGCTCACCTGGAACACGGTTTGCATTTCTGGACTGCTCAGCACGTGGCAGGTGTGTAAAAACAGGAAGGAAATCAAAGTTGGTGAATGAATGTGGCTGGGAAGGGAAAGCTATTTAGAAGGAAGTAATAAAGTGAGCAGGTGAATGGATTGCAGTGATAAAGGAGAGGCAGTAAACTGCTTACAGCTGCAAGCATTGGTATAAAATCCACGAGAGCAAAAGGAATAACTTAATGTTACACGTCGTTGTTAACTGTGACTGTGAGGTTTTCCACATTATCACACACAGCTGTTGGTTTATCCCTCGGTGGAGATGGTTCCCTGGGTTTCTGGTGACAGGGATGAGGGTTCAATAGCAGCATGTTCAGATGTCCCCGAGTGCAGCCCGAGCCAGTCATTGCCACATAGGTACCATTTGCTGGGGGAAAAAAAGAAAATAAGGTATTTTCAGTAGTTCACTTGGCTATCAAAAGCAGTCGTTGCAAATAAAAAAATATGTTATTACTCTGGTGTGTTGTGAAGGAAGTTTAAATTTGTTGTTTTGGGCAGATTTGCAGATGTCCCTGGGAATCAGCTGCAGGGCCACAGTGGCTGGGGCTGGAATTGTGTCTGAGCCACCCAGTGCAAGCCCCTGGCCACCTGGGTCAGAGGATCAACAGCAAACCATGGGCTGAACAACGTATCCCCAGGATCTAGAGGTGGTCTCGGGGTGGGTTTTGGGGCACAGCACGAGGGGAGCAGTGCTTGTGTTGCTGAAGTACTTGCTGCTTACAGGGGTGAGGCCTTGGGCTGTTCGCTCAGGGCGGTTTTCACTGCCCGTGTGCCATCTGGTAGCATCTGCAAAGCAAGAAAGTGTTGTGTGTTATGTCAGGGTCACTGAGCGTGTGTTTCTCCACCAGAAGTCCAAAGCTTTCAAGTACAATGCATCAGACAAACAAAAACAAGCTAATTTTAACATCTATTTGCTCCAAGCCATTGCCTACATTAAGGAAGCATTGTGTGAAACAACATTCTCATAGAGAGTGTAAACTGTAAAGCAATGTAATTTCCCCCCTGTCTCCTAGGAGGTTGTGTTTGTTCAGTGCCACTCAGGCTGAGGTTGGGATGTTCTGGTTAGCAGAGCTGCAGGGCACATCCTTAGCTTGCTGTCAGATGTTTTGTCTTGGTCTGTGGCAGTGCTCGGGCAGAACCTCTTCTTGCAGAGGGGAATTTTGTGATTGACTTTGGGGATCTCAGTCCAGCAAACCCCCCCTCAAACTGGAAATCCTGTGATATGCAAACAGCAGACACGAGGTGACCTGGCTATCTCCCAACTGCTTTCAGCAGAGGGGTGAGATTCATTCCCATCTCCCTAGGGATGCATCTGCCTTCTCTACTTCCAAAGAGCCATTTGGGAGCACGGCTTCTGAAAATCCTGAAGGCAAGTAGGAACTGGTGTATTTCTCACCTAACAAGAGAAAAGAGGATGGTGTTTTCTCCCTGGTAGACCTATGTTACCAACACTGTGTTTTCATTGGAAGGGAAACCCCTGCTGGGTTATATCAGAGGCTGTTATGAAACTACTGCTTGCACAAATTATTGATGCTTACTTAGGAAGCAGCAGTGCAGGTCTGCTGTCTGCACTCTGTGTTGGTTTTGCAGAGTTTCAAGGTGCACACATGAGTTCTAGGCTAGGTGGTTTGCTGTCTGATTCCTGAAGAGCTGTCTGTCTGACCTTCAGTTCCTATGGAAGCTCC